GTTTTTACATTGAGCTCATTTTGGATTTTATGTCTTTGGAATTATCCATACGGATTACCAAATGATATCATTATCATATATATATATATATATATATATATATATATATATATATATATATATATATATGTGTGTGTGTGTGTGTGTGTGTTATCTGTGTGTATGATATATATATATATATATATATATATATATATATATATATATATATAATTTCATGAATAAAACTTTATTTTAGTCTGACAAAACCCTTCTAAAGGACGAAACGCGTTACATAAAAGATTTCCATTTCGTCATTCAATTACGCAACATTGTTCTTTGACATTCAAAATTATATATTTCTCCAATATTGATAATTATGACATTCACCCATATTAATAATATAAGCTGTTTCTCTTCCAACATAATAACTACACTTAGAAGAATCCGTCCTTTGAATATATTAGCCGATAATCCCCGCCCTTATGTTGAGGATAAGTAAACCTGAGTGAAAATGCAAAGTACCAGCTGACATCGTTTTGATTGTAACATATCTTTCTTAGAAAATAAACGCATTTGTCACTGAGTTCATAAAGCAATAGAGAATGACATATGAGAAAATAGCAAACCTGCTTGGAAAGTAAAGAATAAAGGTATATAAACATGAAGTCATTACGAAAAAGATTAATACATTGGCGTGAGAGGATTTAGGGATATTTTGCGCACATAATATCATTTTTCATTCATGCATTTCTGATAATAATTTGCAAGATAAAATTCAGACATATACCTGTTTAAATTTGACGGAAGTATTTAAAAAGAGTAACACATTTCTATTTAAGTAGTATTTTACATAAAATCATCGTTATGTTGTTTATTTTGAAAGTGTTTTTATTTTTCCAAAATAACGGGTGATAATGAGGATAAATAAATTATTTATAATTCTGTGTATAAAATTTGAAGTATTTAAGATGGGTAAAAAAAACGTAATTTGCAACGAGAATACGGTTAGAAAGATTATTCATCGTCATTGATTTCAAAGGTTTTCTTGATGGAATCATATCTTACATATAAAACCGTTTGAAAGGTGGTGGAGAAAATTTCCAGTAGCATCAAGACGCTAAATATAAACGGACGCTCAATCTTTAGATAATCGTTTTTTCCTATCATACGTCAAAAGCGCTTCTGCATCTTTAACGGTTCCATATTAATTGCAAGATTGATTCCATCTGAAAAGATTATAAAGCTGAAGAGGACCATTGTCAGAATGAAAGTCGTAATTCATAATTTTTTTCTTCATTTGATTCACTTGTCTCTCTCTCTCTCTCTCTCTCTCTCTCTCTCTCTCTATATATATATATATATATATATATATATATATATATATATATATATATACCGGTGTAACATCAAAATCGCGTAGCAGCATGGCATAATTGTCTTTTGCCACAAAAAAATCTAATTGAGTTTGATTTTGCAGGTTTTCAGATAAGATGTTTAGCAATGTTGACCGCATTACTTGAATCACTGAAAAAACATTTGACTTATTCAGCTAGAGAGAGAATTGCTTAAATTCGTTTTGTGTCAAACCCACCATGCCTTTCCAACTACGCAATGATGAGAGGAAAACGATCATTCTTGAAGTCATTAATAATACCCACATTCATACTCTTGCTTCCATCTTCAAATTTATGAGATAAAAATATGATGGAAGCCTTAATAATAAAAAGAAAAAAAATGCTCAATAATATTAAGTACAAACATGGCCACCATGTGCTAAGTTCGGAAAATAAAATATCCCTATAACTATAGAAATATACACCAAATCCATACACCCAATTAAAAAATAAAAAATAAAATTATCCTTGATAATGGCTAAAAGTATAGCCGAGAGCGGTCGGAATTGAAGAACATTTGCTCAGTTTCTACACTGTGTCCAGAAAAGAAAACACTTATTCGAACACAAGAAAAATTAAATAAAAAGATTATCGCAGTACCTTGTATGACTTCTTTGATGAAACATGTATAAATGAAGAATTGTTGCCTAAAGACAAAATTATCATATATATATATATATATATATATATATATATATATGTATATATATTTATATTGTTGAAAAATGTGTAAAGGCAAAATTGTCAATTTCTTAGATCAATTCTTTGAAACCAAACGTTGCACCTTAGAAATGATTAAAGATATCTTGCTGGAATTGTCCGAGATTTTTAGAACAATATTGGACTCTGTTTTGAAGAATAAGAATGTATAATTACTCCTCAGGCTTAAGAGAAGAATCATGAGGAAATCCATCATTAACGAAAATGTCATGTTCATTGATTGATCATAGCTAAGGATCGGAACCACATGAAAGATTGAAATAAATTTCATATATATATATATATATATATATATATATATATATATTATTCTAGGATCATTTTCTAACTTAGTCAAGATTACATTCTCTACCTTCTACAATTCTGTCCTGGAGTGACAAAGTAACTCACAGTTTTCATTTACGATTTCATTTTCATGTCTTTTTTCATTAGTCTTTGGACTGTCATAGCTGAAACTCCTCTGAGCCAAATATGTTATGGATTGAGTTGGAGTTTTTCTAATTGATCTCTTTAGCTCTATCTTGAAATGATGATCACTCTTTCTGATGTTATTTCCAGTTTTCGTCTCTACTGTTCCCTCTTTTTTAAACTTATTCCCCGTTCTTTTAATGGTTCTTGAATAGACTTTGAAGATGAAAGCCAGAGTATGAATGCTGGTAGTATTACTGAAGGCCTGAATGATCTTTTTCCTGTTAACATTGCTCATTTGTGAAGACAGTGGTTCTGACACAAAACGATTTTAAACTGTTTTTTTTTCTAGCTTTTTAATTCAATTCGTTTTTCAGTGATTCTTACAACAGATACCGTCAAGATGGCTAAATCTAAAAAATAAATCAATTAGCTAAGTGGTTTTGCTGTTACAAACGATATATATATATATATATATATATATATATATATATATATATATATATATATATATACAGAAAATTGACAACGGAATAGGAAAATCTGTCTATATTTCTGAGTTATTATGTACACTAGTTACATTATTCGGACTAGTGTCCTCATCTTTGTCGCCATATTTATTACAACGTTTCGGCCGTTGTACGCTCCGGCCTTCTTCAGGTGGTTGGAATGTTGAACTGAACGCTTTATTTCGCTCACTGGGTAAACTGTTCTACTTCCATGTGACATGTCTAATGGATGTCAGATATCAGTTTTCGTCTGTTAATTCCCCTCTCCAAGTTTAGTACCTGGTTAAGGCGGTGGAGAATTTGAAGAGGGAATTAACAGAAGATAACTGATAACTGACATCCATTGACACATGAGCAAAAATAAGCGTTCAGCAGAACATTCCAACCACCCCGGAGCGTACAACGGCCGAAACGTTGTAATAAATATGATGACAAAGATGAGGACAATAGTCCGAATAATGTAAATAGTGGAATAAGAAAATAATAAAAATTATTTTGGGATTTATGTGATATTAATAAATATTTAATTTCTATCAGAATTTCTTAGCTGCGAAGTTATCATTACTTTTGGGTCATTGTTCTGTACTTTGTTGTTATTTCCACAATATTTTGACAGTTTGACCTTCTGACATTCTTCAGGTAACTGTCGATCCAGTAATTCTCATGGAATTCCGAACTGAACGATTTCTTTAATCTACAAGAGTTATTGCCCTTGTTCCGGTCTCCATACCTCGAGATATCAATTTTGTACTTTTAATACAGTTCTCTTATTGTTTACTCTGTTTGTAATGCGCCAACTTCTCTACAAGCTGAAACAGTGATTGAGTTCACAATTAATCTTTCAATAATACAAAAAACAACGATTTAATAAACATAGCTAGTATGATAAAGAGATGAAAGATATTAGTCTGAACGCAAATAATGTTATTGTTATTTAGTATTAGATTAATTAACAATCAAAATATTGATGTAAAAACATGAACGAAAGCAAACAAGCAAGACAAAAAGGTATTAAGAAAGAATGATGCAGAAAAACATTAAAAAAAAACAGAAGATAAGTTAAATGTGTAAGGGCAGAGGTCATCTAATATTTAATATTTCTTCAGGGGACAATGACACATTCGTTCATTGACTGATGAAGACAGATTGGTGTAAGTAATTAGTGGCGGTAAATGGACAACCCAGCTTTGATCTAAGCAGCCCTAACCTTAGTCTGTACTTAGTCAACTTTTCAGATGAACAAGAAGATGATGAATTCTTTTGTCGCAACCACGAATAAATGACAATGTCAGACGCTCGAACATCAGTAATCAGACATTAGCTTGAAACATACCAACGTACTAACATACCAATATATATATATATATATATATATATATATATATATATATATATATATATATATATATATATAATAATATTATGCTCGTGAACAAATATTTTGGAATGTTTTCTACGGTAGTTTAAGAAAAAAATGGACATAGTACTCAGGACTTTGATAGAAGAATGCAGTGCAGTGTTTATTTTTTTTATCCACAGGTGCGTGAGTGAGTGCGTTTGTGTGAGTCAGTTGCTGTTGTCTTTGTTTTTGATTTTTGTGCAGCTGTAGATCGAGCTTAGACAACCTTTTCCTCGCAGTAGGCCGCATCAGCTATGTCTTACCTTAAGGCGGGACAGAGTACAAAAAATTCAAGGTAATTTTCACTACAGAAGTGGATACGCGAAGTAATGTTCTGCCTTAGAAATGAGGAAATGTTGACTGTTTCTTGGAGAAAAGATTTCTCAGTAATTCAACCATGATATCTCTGTATATTATCAAAGATGACAGTGATTAAGACTCGTTGTTACACGCTGTTTCTTATTTAGTTATTCGAAAATACACAAAACATTTTTTTAAAGAAATATATTTATTATATTTATATTAATATTTGTTCTCTTTCTGTACGTATGTATGTATATATATATATATATATGTATTTATTCATGTATGTATCTATCTTCATATTTGTTCTATCTATCTATCTATCTATCTATCTATCTATCTATCTATCTATCTCAGTCTGTTACTGATTTATCTATCTATCTCAGTCTGTTACTGATCTATCTATCTCAGTCTGTTACTGACCTATCTATCTATCTATCTATCTATCTATCTCAGTCTGTTACTGATCTATCTATCTCAGTCTGTTACTGATTTATCTATCTATCTATCTATCTCATCACTTTGACTAAGACATTTGGCTCTATCATATTAGTTTTGGACCATCAAATGTCAAATTTTCGGTTACCGACATTCAAAAAAGTTAAATAATCATTTCTCTTTAATCTAGAGCAACACAAGATTTATATAACATAAAAATTATCCATACTTATAACAATTATTTCTATCTCTCCCCCTCTCTCTACCTGTCTCAGTCAGTCCGTATCTATCTATCTCTATATCTATCTATCTATCTATCTATCTATCTATCTATCTATCTATCTATCTATCTCAGTAAGTTCATATCTATGTATTTATCTATCTATCTATCTATGAGACGGAGAGAAAGAAAGAAAGAAAGAAAGAAAGAAAGAGATATATTTACTAATGTTGCTTTGTCTCTTTTTCCAGGTTTGATGGAAACTTGTAAATGCTGACAGAAAGATTGAGTGTTCACTTGTTGGGTGTAGACTGCAATTCTACAATAATTTATCATTCTGAAGCGATGTTATCATCAGGAAGTTAAGCACACTATGCTAAATATCTGTGGATCCCAGAAATATGATGTCTCCATTCGAACTTTAAAATGTTTCCCTCTCTTCAGTATAGTTCGACCTCATTAATCCGGCATCCTTGGGACCAGGCCATTATCGGACCTCAATAAATGCAGGGAGACTTAAACGAATACTATAAAAAACCCTATTTAAATATAGTATACATTTCATTCCGCGTATATATAGTGATGTTTTATCAAAGTTTAAAACAGGAAATAAAACAATCATTCATGCTTCGAAAAAAGTGTTTTGTTGTTTCCTGCTTACAAATGCAAAAGAAAAGCCTAAAATTAAAAAAACAATTATATATATATATATATATATATATATATATATATATATATATATATATATATATATATCTTGATGCATGTTTCATTAAATAATATGGACAAAGTTTACCTATTTATTTTATGTAATTTCTTTTCATATCGTCTGATAAACTTAATAGTATTATCATTGATAGAAGAAAGAAAATCACAATATTGATACATATTTTTTAATCCTATCTAAGCCTTCGTCTTACATAAGCCATTATCAAAGATGACAATTACATTACAAACACAATATATATATATATATATATATATATATATATATATATATATATATATATATATATATATATATATATACTATTCTGATTGTGAAAATATGCAGCTATATACACTAAGTTTCAAGTTTGATGACTTCCCTGTTATTTTTTAAATTGGCTCCAAATTGAGTTGTTTAAGTCAGTGAAATTCATTATACATGGTTAAAAACGTGAAACATTATGTTTTTACTAGAAATTTTAAATGATAAAAATGAATAAAAAGCATTTTAAGATTAAATTTTGTTCTCCTCAAAATATCCTTTTTAGCTTTAATTACACCAGCACAAAAATTTTTTCAATTTATAAATTTGATTTCATAAATCAAATTTATACTTTGAGAAACTTCCATTCTTTTCTTAGTGCTTTAAGCGATCTTTTTCATTTCTTTTTTTTTTTTTAACTTTCTGTCAAGTTCAAGCCATGCTAATTCTGGTGGTGTCTTCAAATTTCGATATTTTTTTATATAAAAATATATTGCTGGTATTTTTATTATAGAAATATATTTTCATACCTCTTAGGATTTTGTTTTTGTTTGGTGACGTCTTCATTTGCCCATAGCTGACACCTTATCAGGTGCTACCACCCCAGAATTAGGAATAATACCAATTAAGAAGTGGTTCCAAGCCTCTCACAACCTCCAATCTCCCGATCAGAGAACAAAAGGTAAACTCTGACCACAAAACTTGAGTAATGCAATGAGAAACCATTACACTAACATTTCCAAAAGTGCATGATAATAATAAAACAACATATATTAAAAGCAGAAAGAAAGTATGGAGGGCTATGATCGATATGATATTAAAAAAAAGACGAATTAATTTTTAAAAAATATGTGCGGTCTGCTGTATTGGATAGAGACTCTGAATGAGAAATTAGAGAACCGAGTTCAAATTCTACTCGGGTTTGTTATATTCACTTACGCACAAATAACCTTTTGGAAAAGTAGTCAATGAATATCAGGACAGATTGGGCCCAAAAGCTTTGGTTGGCAACCAGTCTACCAAGAAGCAAACGGCAGCCTACTGCGGAAAAATCCGTCGAGTCAGTCATGAACCGAAAGAAAGCTTTTGCCACATATGGCACTTAACTGACTGAGTCTAATAAGAAAAAAAACCTAGAGAATTTCTTAGCCTACGTGAAGGAGGTCAGTCTATACCACAAATCATTGCATTAAATGCATGCATTCTAAAGGCATAACTGGAGATGGATTGAACCAATAATCTGTTATGGAAAACCCTCCTACAGTAGAATGAACTCTTCCTGCTCTCATAAATACTAACTGCGAGACTTCCTAGAGGAGAGACTTAGGGTAGCGGAGACGCAGTAATTACTACCTTTCGGACGTACACATCTATCTGCTCTTGCTTTGTATATATCTGTTATTTCAATACACTTGTTCAACCTATCTTCGTCTTCCGTGTCTTTCTTTCTGGCCTCTAAATAGGCCACAACATAATCCTAAGGATTGTTTTAGAAGCCATGTATTTAAAAATATTTTTTCAGCATTAAATAACCGATAAAGATGATATACCGTTAATACTTAACAATCTACACAAAACTCATTTTTGATGGTGGACTTTTAAACATTATTGACGTTGAAATACTTCCACGGATCCTTTTTTATGACATTATTATCAGGTTCTATTGGCCAATTTTGGAAAATATAAGAAATTGGAGTTTACTAGAATTAAATGACTATAAAACCGTTGGCGGAAATTTCTCGTCGGGTCATTTACTCAGCAATACTAAGCTAAACGAAAACACTACACAAAATATAATAAAAATACATCACAATGCTATGGTTTGGAAATAACACTAAGGCCTACTTAGTTTATCAAAGAAATGATAGGGACAGACATTTTGTTTGGTTTGGTTTGTTTTGCTGCGTTTTACGGCATATCAATCTAAATGAGTTATATAATGCCGACAAGATTTTTATTGCTGGTAATATTTTCTTATCTATCTATCTATCTATCTATCTATCTATCTATCTATCTATCTCAGTATATATTGGTTTGGTGTGATTTATTTTCGGCATATCAACCTCAATGGGTTATTTAAATTTTTATTGCTGGTAATATTTTTGTTCAAAAATGCATCGCTGGTAATATTTTCACAAATGTATTTCTGCTATTTTTTTTTTTTTTCAAAATGTATTGCTGGCAATAATTTTTGGAGAAAAAAATATTTTTACAAAAATGTATTGCTGGTTTTAAAGCCTATTTTTATACTTTCATAGCAATTCAACCCCAGTTTAGGGTTAACTATTTGCCCAGAGTTTGGACCATAAATCCTTATTTTTTCGTCTTAACCATGACGCGGATGTAGTTTATCGTCTTACTCAGGTCGCCTTATTTGGTCGAGGTGTCTTAAAACCTCTGCAGAGGTGCCGTCGGCCTATTTTAAAGCCCCAGCCGACAGGGTGGCTGATATATTGTAGAATCATGATCACTTATATATACGTCGACAGAAGGCAATATAAGTTTCGTAATGAATTATACGTACGTCTACAGCAGCGGAAATTTTAAATACTTTGTTTTTTTTTTATGTTTAACAAACATAAGAATAGACGAGAGACTCTGAAAAATAGTGAGGATTCCCATTGATAATTTCCGCGGTGATTTGGGTTCTCAAATTTGAAAATTTTAACGTTTGCAATATTGTTCTTTCAACCAACTACAGTTCTACGATGCACCTTTTTAAGTGGGGAATTTTTCTTCTTCTATGTGACATGTCACTTCTGGATGTTGGCAATTATAGATCTGCACTATTTCTTGTCATTTGTAGCTCTTAATAATATTTTTTTCTTTTTGTTACCTCTCCTAAACCCTCTTCCACCATCCATTTACTAAAGCTCGCAAGTTATGTTGTGTGTTGATTTCCTCTGTCCCTTTTGCCTTCAATCTGTCCTGGGAGTATCATATTTTCCAAAACCTCTTTCCTCATTTCATGCCCTGGATATTTCAGCACGTTCTTTCTGTCACTTCTTCTTACATTTTCTCTAAAACTTCCTCATTGTCCACATGTTCATTCCATGGTATCCTCAGCATCCTTCTGTAGAAGCAGTCTCTTAATCATCTCTGAAGAGATTGTCCGACATTCACTGTCATATAGGAGGACTCATATTATCTATCAGTTCTGTTATGGTCCAGATTAGGACAAAAGAAGAACAACACGAACACAAGAGTAGAAATAACGAAGGTATATTACACGAAATAATAATACAAGATGTGGAAGGTGTTAGTATGACTGTCAGTCTAGTTTGGAGTGAACTACTATCGGCTCGACTCGATTCGTCCCTCTCTCTTGAGAGGCGTAGTATACATAGTGTTAGGAAGAGTTCATTCCTTAGTTATAGGTAAGGACCCATGACAAGTTCTGTATTCCTTTCTTTGTTTCTAACGATTTATTTCTGTTTCTTAATATTTTCCTTAGCTTTTCAAGGCATCTTTTGCTATCCCATTGCAACTACGGATTTCCATATCCTTCCCTTTTAAACGAAATAAAAAATATGTTTACAAATTCAATGGGCAAAAGATAGTTTTAGCATTAATGGAAAATGCTATATTTATATGTTTATTTTAACCCATCCAGACATATCGTTCCATTTTATGCTAGTTGGCATTAATTGATTATATGTAATGAAATGTATAATAAATAAGGATTTTTATAAATCTATAATTTATACATTTTTTCAAAGTCTATAATTATTAGATGTCTTTTTTTTTACACCTATAATTAATACCGGGTTATTTTGAATCCTATAATATTTTCTTGATATTTTCAAAGCTAATGTCAAGATTTTACGGTGGACATTAAAGGGTTAATAATTCAGGATTAGAGTTGACTAAATCCATCATTATTGTTCTAAATGAAAAATAAAAATCAAGTCCACTAAAAATCCTGTCCACTAAATTGATCATACCTCCCCACCATTTTGAAATCCCCGTTTTTAATGATATCTAATTGAAAGTTACACGTAAATACACTTATGTTAAAGATGAACTGGGATGGGTAGATCTTATAACGATAATCAAATCACTGGTGTCGGCCATAAACGAATGCTCTGTTTATAAATGATTCGTATTGTTTAATGGCGGGAAACTTAGTCAGAAGGTCAATAGCCGTAAGACAAATGTCGAACATGAGATATGTGTTCAGAGATGTGAAAAAATTTCAACTGAAATGTCAAAACTACAATGTCAGTAGGAGAAAACATATGAATAAATGAATAGAAAAAGACAATATGAAAAATTAATGGACAGAAAGAAAGGACGAAAGAAAAAAACAATGTAGTGCGTATAAAAGAGACAAAAGAAAGAGAAGGATAAAAAAGAAATCGAGAATAAAGACAAAGAGAAAAGATGGACATAAAAAAGAAAAATTAAAGAAAGAAAAATTAAAGAAAGAAAGAAAGAATTAAAGAAAGAATTAAAGAAAGAAAGAAAGAAATCAAGAAAGAAAAAAAGTAAGAATGAAAATAAAGAGTGAGAGAAAAAACGAGATAGTGTAGTGTGTATAAAAGACAAAAAAGACTATGGCCATGAAAAAGATAAAGCAAAAGAAAAAGAAAAATAAAGGAAGAAAATAGAGAGAGAGAGAGAGAGAGAGAGAGAGAGGGGGGGAGTGTAGTGTGCGTACAAGAGAAAAAAGAAAGATAATTATGAAAAGAAGTGTAGAATAAAGACAAAAAAGATGGGCATAAAAAGAAACTAAAGCCAAAATAAAAGCAAAAAGTAGAAAGAAAGAAAGAAAGAAAGAAAGAAGGAAAGAAAGAAATAAAGAAAGAAAGAAGGAAAGAAAGAAAGAAAGAAAGAAAGAAAGAAAGAGATAGTCTATTGTGCATAAAAGGAAGAAAAGAAAGAGACTAATAAAACGAATTCGAGATTAAGGACAAAGAAATAAGAAGAAAAAAAACAAAATAAAAAGCAAAAACAATAAAGAAAGAAATATGAAATAATGAAAGTAGAAACCTATGAAAAAAAGAAGCCGTTGCTGCGCCAATATTATTATTATTATTATTATTATTATCACGCTTCTGTCACGAAGGAATCCGAACAGAATGCTTTATTTCTCGTCTTCATGTCGAGAGATATCACGCCCATTTTTTATTACTTCTCAGTTAATGCTAGCTTATAATAAGCAGGATTTGAGCTCACAATTACTGTACTACCGAATAGATGAAGCATCGCATTAAACATATTGGACAAGAACACCATCCAAAGATACCGGATGGATAATTACAACTAACTAAAATGTGAGATGAACTAATCATAGATAGAGAAAGAATAAGATAGATATATGCAGAGGTAATTATAAGATATATGAATAGTTGAGTAAATAATTAATGATAAAATAAGATGTTCCAATATATATGGACAACGGTAGACTTTAAGGAATTGATTGGCGCCTCGATGAAGTTTACTAGTAAACAAGCGAACGTGATATATAAATATAAGCAATGCGGGCAAAGATCGAACCTGTGTCACTCTTTGTAGGATAAATCATCGTTTGATTCAGTGTGATTCACTCGGACACTGAAAACGACGCAGCAGGGCAAGTATCGATTTCGACTTGAAGAGAATGTGTTTCGTTAAAAATGAGAAAATAGAACATTGCTGACCACGCCCTTCTCCGTGAACAATCATTCAAAGAAAACTGGATCCAGGGATATTTTCCCTTACAAAAGGTATGCAGGTTCGGTCCCAGACGGGGGAAAGCATTATTTTTCACTAAGATTTCTTCAATGTTCAGGCCGGTAGGCATAATAAATACTATTTCATAAATAAAACAGGGGCATCTATTTCAAACACCAGGTATCCACTGGATATATATATATATATATATATATATATATATATATATATATATATATATATTTAAAAAATATGTTTTTTTCGCTACACAGTTCTAACCATGTTTCAAAAATGGAAGCTGAAAGCTCGAATTTAATTTTGTAATTAAATTAAAGACATTAGTTCCATTTCATCCTCGAGCGAATTTTATCTATAAGAACACCGGATTATATATCTTACTGTTCTTTCTTTTTATTTATATAAACACACATATATATATATATATATATATACATATATATATATATATATATATATATATATATATATATATATATATATA